GAACAAACATCTCTGGTTTGAGGTTAAAAGGACCATCCCACTGTGTTTGGAGAGCTGTGTGCACAGGGGGTGAGCCACGGGAACTCACCTCACTGCAGCCTCAAAGAGCCCCCAATATCTTCCTGAGGGGACTGTGATGCACAGATGTGAGGAGTGAGCAGGATGAGAACTGGACATTATCCTGTGAGACACCTGAAAACATCAGAGGAAGTGGAGGGGCCACAACAGAGGGAAGTCAGGAAGGACTAAGAGATAAATAACCTCTGGAGCATTATTCTCTCCAGAATCTGCACACAAGAGTCCCGAGTTTATGCTTCCTTCTGCTGTCACAATCACCTACTTCATCTTTCTAGTCCTAGGGTATGTGGTATTTTAAAAGATAATAGTTTATCACTTGTGCTACTACTTACCCTGTTAGAGGTTTTAGAGAACAGGTTAGGAAAACACCTATTGAAGATCATAAAAACAGTAATTCCTGTCTGGATTCAGGAGGGTAAACTGGATCTCTTCTCTTCTATGTTCCTTGGTGCGTTTAAGGTAGTGCTTTTAATAATTCTGAAGCTAAACAGTAATGGAAGGTCTTGTCTGGAAGACTCTTGTCTCATTGAAATTGGGTAAATAGGAAAATGAAAGGTCACTGTGTGTCTGCTGTTGCATGTCTGTCGGTCCCTTTGTGGAAAACATAAGGACAGCTTTTGTAGATCCCTGAGTGTGTGCTGATGGAATTGACTGTGGTAGATAACTATATTTTTGAGCACAGGAGATCATATATTGTGCCCAGTGCTCAGAAAATTCACCAGCTTTTTAATATGTCAAAACCTTTTTTGCTGCTTTAGTGGTGCAGTGGGTTGTGATTTCATTGTAAGTGGAAACTTCTTTCTTGTGAGCTGTCCTGTGTATATGTGTGTGTACAAAGGTACATAACGTAATGATATTCAATATATAATGTGGGTGAGAAACAGTTAAAGGTTCAAAACATGTTCCTCTAGTGCCATGAGAAAAGGAACCCTTTCTCACTTTTGGTTTTTCAGGAGGTTCCAGACCTCCTACTTTGACACAAAGTTATGTTAAAAGGGTGTTCTGTGCAGGATCCCTGCAGAAGGCTGTGGTTTTGAGCCTCTCCCGAGGGAAAGTTACCTGAGAAAGATAATGTGGAACAGAGAGGGTGATTGGCAAGGAGAAATGGGTAAATTGAGAGGTGGTAAATGGAGGGTATGGCAAGTAGAGACCTAAGTGTAGTTGGGAGATTTACGTGAGCTACGAGAAAGAAGATTTCAGAGACTGAAAAGGAAACTGAAATGCCCTGAGCACTCAGAGGAAAGGGTGTCCAGGATGAGGGTGGGAAGCCCTGGGTGAAATGATCGCAGACTCCTCTTGCAGGTGTAGATGGCTACTCAACTTCCCAGTATTAGTTACTGTCAGTTCAGGATAAAACATTTTCTGATAGTCCTATAGCCTTGAGAGGGAAAACAATGCAAATAACCAAGGCAGGGAAATACAATTCCACACACCTGTGAGTGATTTCTCGTCTGCCCTGTGAGCTGAGTCAAATGTTACGCTAAACGGGGTCCTTAAGGATGGCTGTGTTTTGGTAGCTACCCCCCTGCTCTTAGGCAAGCAGCACACGGTGCCAGCCTGAGCTTCCCTCAGTGGAAACTGCCGTGCTGAGAAGTCTTGGGGAGGCTTTTAGAAAGGATCTACCTGAGATGAAAGAGTCAGTTCTGGCTGGCTGGGAGAGGTAAGATTCTTGTTTTGATATATTGCCCGTACGTGTTATTTTTAGTACAACCAGAGAAGAGAATGTATTGAGGAATTAGACTTTAACCAGAAATATTGCTTTCACTTCCTTTTAAATTTAGTGTTTGGCCACAGCTAATCCACAACAGTAGTAATTAGGTTGTGGTTTCCATAGTAGTGCAGATAAGAGATATTAATCTGTTCGTGGGAGCATCTGAGTTATTAACTTGGATACCAGAAGACAATTTTTATGACTTTATGTATGTAGTCATAAATCCTGCAACTATTTAATTTCTTTAATGCACTGAAACTCTCCTGTATTTTCCTGTATCAGTGGTGCTTGAAGATGCTAAAATAATTTGGGTTAGGACTGAAATAGCGTTCTTATGAATCTCTCTTGTTTTTCTCTGAGGAAAACATAATATTTTGATAAATGGTACTGCTTTGAAGTTAAAATGTGACTCAAGAATAATGCTGCAAAGATCATGGAGTAGCACTAGATTTGTACCTGCATAGTTATAGATTCAAAAGTTGAAACTTGAGCAACTTGAGCAGACACAGAACTTTCTGGTGATTCTAATGTTCCTCTGGCTTGAGATTGTCTTATGACAGTAAATTAAGAGTAAAAGGGAAATTCTGATGAAATGGTTGGTGTACAAAACCCATGAGACTAATATGTGTTGGGATCTGGAAAAGTTTTCAGTACCACAGCAGTTGATCACACCAGAATACATTAATAGCTTTTTGAAAACATAAAATAGTGATGATAATTTGAGAAAAATTATTTCAAATGTTATCTCTGAGAAGTTGTGAAAAATAAAGGGGGAAGGGAATAAAATTGCAGAAGCAGTAACTGAGAGAAGCTGAAATAATAGAGGAAATCAAGCCAAGTGAAGGAAACCTGGGAAAATTTCAACTGATACCCTTTCTCTTATTTGCTGAGCAATAAAGCTGTTTATTTTTTAGTTTGAAATAACATATTCTCATATGGCTGTGCAAATGAACTAAATTAATTGATGTGTATGGATAAGACCTTGATACTTTTTGTGGTTCTCGTTCCTAAAGCAGAAACTTTAAAAAAATGACATGATGAAAAGCAGGTGTTTTCATCAGACAGAGCATTTTTTTAGCTTTGCCTATAAGCTATAAAATCCTGTTAGGGGTTTGTTATTAACCCAAATGGATCTGAGTCCTGTGATTTGATAATAAACCATTTAAGCTAATGGTACAATTTGTCCAGTAGGAGAGATAAATCACAGCTTCTCTCTTGAGATTACAGTAGTGTGTTAGTCACAGCATAATGCTGGTGAATAATTAGGACTAACAGCACGTAGCAAGTTAAAAAAAGACAATTGGCAAGTGAATAAATACAGTGTTAAACCATATGACATTTGAAAGGGGAGTTTTCTGTATTTCTGGTTTGAAGTTAGCAGCACTCCTAACACTGAGTGATTAATGACCTGAATTGAGTAATAGCTGTCTCATGAGAACACACAATATTTATTAACTTATGGTACACCTGAATTCTGTTGTTTCCTTTTACATTAAACATCATTTGAGATTCATTGTAAGAGACAAAGGATTTAACAAACTTATTTGGGCATAGAACGCTGCAGTAGCACTAGAATATACTCTGGCAATAGCACCAAGACCTGATGTGTGTCTTTTTTTAATGTCCTTCCTGTGAAGTGCCTTCAGGAAGATATCTCACAAGTTCTAATTGCTGAGGGTTGTTTTTTTGGGGGGGAGGAAGGACATATGGTTATGTGGGGTTTTGTAAGGTGCTGTTCTCCCCTCTCCCTGCCAGGGCTAATCAGAAATGGTCAGTCCGAGAGCAGCACTTTAACGTGTAGCTGTCGCTCTTCCCGTCTGGCAGAACAGGTCAGTGCACAGAGAGCAGAGCGGAACGTTTCTAACGAAACGGGGTGCACTTGTACTTCTTTAAAAATTGAAGAAGTGGCATGCATTTTGATAATGGGATAATGGAGAGCCCCCACCCCAACCCTCAGCTCTGTTCACCATCATTAGGATGCAGAATATTAAGAGCAGAGCAACTGGGCGTAACAGCCGACGTTCAACATCTGTCGTGCTGGACTCCATTAGTGTTCAATTGCATCCTATTGTTTTTGGATTATTCAACCTCACTTCATTGTCATTGCTTTGGCTAGGGATTAATCAGCTGTTTACAACTACACCAAGTTTGGGAGTCATAGTGAAAACAATTGAGCTATAGTTCTAAATAAATATACAGTATTCAGTCTCTAATGAAAAAAGTTACTAATTTATGAATGCTGGTAACAATTTAATTAAGCTTGAAATCAATACAGATAATAAATCATTGTGTGGCAGGGTTTTTTTTATCCCCTTTTATGTACATCATAAAATGATTGTGTGATAGATCCTCTTAAATTTATGTAGCTGTGGTTTTAATAGTACAAGTACAGTAAAAGAAAGATGTTTTGATTATGGGGTGTGGGTGTATATGTGGTGGCTTCTCTGTCATTACAATTGGTAGCAGAATGGATCCCTTGCTGCCAGCAAGCAGATTTCTGTTTTTCACATCCTCTTTTATTCTCATTACTTATTTAGAAGTGTCTTTTTAGTAATATCTCAAACTCCCATAAAATGCACATATATGCTTTAATTTGGTGTATTTAAAAGGGCAGTTTTTAGACTATTTCTATACTTACATGTCTTTGTGTATGACCATCACAACCTGTGTATTTTTACAATCATTATTATTTAAACTCATAGCTACCTTTTAACTGTTTAAATATATTCCAGTGATTTCATGACAGGGGAATCCATAATCCCCATTTTTCTTAAGGTACTACGCTGACTGCAATGTTGTGTACTTTAGACAGTATTAAAATTGTGCTTGCTGAAGGGTTTCTAATGGTTTGAGTTCACTTATTTTGGTACCGTATGTGCAAAGCAGCATTCTCAGCTGTATATCATTAAGCTATTTCTCCTGTTTCATTAAAACAGTTATTTCTTCTATCCTCAACACTTCACCAGAATTTTCACGTGCTTTAATCTACAAATACTACAATGCACAGAGATTTTTTTTTTCCCCCTGTGTTGCAACAGATTTATCCTTTGAAAAGATCTTTTGCTTAACTGCCCAGGGTCAGCCAGACACTACTCCAGATGGCAAGTTGTTAGGGCTGGACAGAATGGCTTTGGAAGACTTCTCACCAGATGAAGGCTCTAATGTTCAGATTTTACTGTTCTGTGTTTTTTTTTTTTTCCCCTCCCTGTAGTTCCCAGGGTGGGAAGGTAGTGGGATGGGAGCAGAGTGCCGCCTGCCCACCTGCTGCCACCTGTTTAGCTTTTGCAGTTCCTATAAAGCCTCATCTTGTCCATACAACACAGTCATTGCTGGCCAGCAGGAGCCAAAGGAGAGATCTCTATTAGGAACTTACACCTTCAGATGGCAACCATTCACGGTTTCAGAGCACTCTCCTAAACTGAATCAGAACTTCCCTCATTTGTCATAGTCTCTTGGAAGCCTGGTTGGATTAAATGGATCACTTTCTTCAGTAACATACATTCTGAGAAGGGAGACTTCATTGTTTTCTCTCTTTTTGAGATTAAAGAAATTAAAAGAATGAAAGCATAAGACATAAAAAATTCTTCTTTCTTTAAACAATAAGAAACATTTTTGGACATTTTCAGAAGAACAAGAAGACTTTTTTTTTTTTTTAAAAGAAGCTAAGAAAAATATTCTGTCACTGAGATCTGGAAGCAGATTCAAGAGGTATGCAGGCAACTCACAAGAGTGCTTCCCTTACCATTTTCTAGATACCTATTTTTACAAAGCAATCTTTGCGTGTGTGAAACTGAAGCTGCATCCAACATGAAGACCTGTCAGTCCAGTCCCTTGGATTCAGGGGTGGAATCAGAGGTGCAGTGCCGAAGCGGAGCGGGTTGTGCCGTGAAGTGCAGTTCGGAGCGAATGGAGAACGCGGCCAAGAGGAGACTGGCGGCCAACGCGCGGGAGAGACGGCGGATGCAGGGACTGAACACGGCCTTCGATCGCCTCAGGAAAGTGGTCCCGCAGTGGGGCCAGGATAAGAAGCTGTCCAAGTATGAGACCTTGCAGATGGCCCTGAGTTACATCATGGCTCTCACCAGAATCCTCGCTGAGGCAGAAAGGTACAGTACTGAGCGGGACTGGATTAGCTTGCACTGCGAGCACTTCCACCCGGAGAGCTGCCACCATTACACCGGCCACAAACTGGGCACAGACAGCGAGCCCTACGCACAGCGAGTATTCAGCTACCACCCTGAACACTTCCAAACAGCTAATTAGAACTTGTCAGCTAAGAGTATGCAGCAGGCCAGATGTGTAATTTAATAATTAGCAAGAGTTAATCTGCTTGATGAAGGTAATATTGCCATTATAATAGCTCATTCTTGTTTGCTTCTTATGCTAATTTGACGAGTTTGCTTTGAGAACTTCAAAATGCGTTTAAGAAAATTGAATTTATTTAATGCTGGTGGAAAGTATACTTTTAATTTGAAATCTTTCTGACAACTGTTTCCTAGTTCACCTACTTAATTTAATTCTTTCATTAAATAAGTCTTTGGTGGGTTTTTTTACTGTGATGAATCATGACAGTATTTCTACAAATCATGGAACAAGTTGACCCATGGTGTAAGTGAGTGGAATAACACCAGAACTTAACTTCATTCCATGTTTTTATTTTTATGTCAGCTTTAAACTTATTCTTTGGTTTGTTTTCACATAAATGGCTCTCATGGAAAAAGTTTTATAATGTATCATTGTTCTAGTCCTGAGAGAACTAACTTTCTTAAACTTTGTAAGTTTGATATTAAGCGTTCCAAGGTTGTGTAGGTTTGCTTTAATCCAATTTATGGTGTCTCTTGTATGCTCAAAAAAGAGCTAGTTTCAAGTCACGGAAGGAATGTTTTATTTTTAGTGGTTGTAAATTATGTGTGATTATATACCATAAAATGAGAATGCTTGCGTGAAAATAATCTAAACTTCTAGTTTTTTGTAGACTTTAAATGATTTTATTTTTTAATCCTGTGTTATCTGGAAACAATAATGGATTTTGTAAATCATAAATAAAGTGTTTTCTATGCTATGTCCTCACCATCTACCTGAAATTCCCACTCTAGGAATTACTTACTAGTGAATTTTCTACACCAAATGTTACACTGTTTCCATCGCAGTCCTGGCAGCTTAATGTGCAGAAGAACCCTGCTAGCAAATGATACTTGCTTCCCAGTTACAGTAAGGAGTGTGGTTTATGCACCCTCTGGAAAACAACCTTAAAGATGAGAGTTTGGGAAAAAATGCTGGAGCAGTTAAGTTCCTTTCAGCCCCGGGGATGGACTGAATGGCCTTTTGTTTGCCTGCTGCTTTCACCTGGGGGGCACTGAGGGGTCTGGGAGAGAAGGCAAAAGGGGAAAGGAGGCTGGGAAGATGAAAAAAGGAGCAGGATGGCTGGGGAAGCAGATGTGTCTGTGGCAGGATGGGCAGTCTGCAGTTCAGCTGCCCATGCCTGTTGTGATGGCAGCAGGGAAGCTCAGGGGTCCTTCTGCTGGGGCTGCTGTGGGGAGCTGTGGGCAGCTCCCGAGACGAGCCCTCGCTGGTGTCCCCACGGCAGAGAAGGAGAAAAGGAGCTGCTGTCCCACAGCAGCTGTTGGGGGGTTTCCAGCAGGGAAGGCTGGCGGGTCCCCTGCTGGCTGCTGCCACCTCTTATATTTTACAATTCTTTCAAACGACAAATTATTAGCTTTGATAGGAGTTATTTTCGACAATTAAGCGGCTTTCAGAGCAAACAAAAGCACTCATAGGAACTGAGCCCTGCTTTGGGGGAGAGGGCTGTGCTGCAGGAGCAGTTCCATGCAAAGAGCTGACCTTGCTGTCTGTCCTCTGCCACAGCCCTTACTGACGTCTTGCCCTTGGTCAGTGGTGTGAAGCTTGGACCTTTCCTGAGGTGGGAGTTGGATGGTTACTGGTGTAAAAGCTGCTGGGACACCCCTGTGGAAGAGACACTGTGTATTCTGAGCAACTCTCTCCTTTAAACACTGGCATTCAGGAATGGTTTTTTTAATATATATTTAGCCTCTCTAAAAGCAATGAATAATTATTAAAATGTGGGTCTTTGCTTTTTATGAATGACATTAGATCTCTATCAGCAAATAGAAAGCAGATTGAACCTTGTAGGGATATGAAGGCTTGTTAGTCACAGATACAATAGAATTAATTGCTGTCCATCATATAGTCAAGTTAGTACTGTTTGAATATTATCATTAAGTGACAAGTTGATGTATGTAATGAGAATGAATGCAATTCTTAAATAATTAAATGCTGTGCCATTTTAGCCTAATTTATTAGCTGTAACCTTTAGGCAGACAGCGTCTCACCTGCACTGCTGGCACAGCAGTGGATTTTCCATTCTGAAACGGGAATAGGATACAAATAAATCATGTGATTATATGGCATGGAAAACTTGGATTAGTGAAAGATATTCCAAAGCTGAGGTGGGAAGGAGATCACAGTACAAAAGGATAAATACCAGAGTAGTGTTCAGGAACAAGACTGTTTGTCTGCTACTGGCATATGATTTGTTTTTGTGGGACATGACATTGCAGTTTGTAACTCAGGTTAAAGTGCTTGACATCTGTTTCTCTTCCAAGTTTGTTTCTTCCACACAGCATTGTAATTTACTGTCTGCTGCATATGATGATAGAGTTAAAAATAGATATAGTTAAAAAAAATAATTAGTACACATTGAATGATTAAATGGTGGTAAGCTCACATAAAGAGGAACAAAACAACACAAACCATAAAATATCTGTGCTCATGTTGCCAAAAATTATTGAGAATTGAAACTGAAGCCCTAAAAAGCACTGTAGTGCAGTATGTACGTTGTGAACCCTTGTAAATCAGGTCATGGTATCAGTCTCTGCTGTTGAGCACTATAAGGTTATTATTCCAATCCTTAGATTTTGTTGTGGTAGTGGGAGATGAATGTTTATCGATAATATTAGTAATATTACTAGTGGGAAAATTGAGTGTGTGGGTTTTTTTAAAATATATTTATATATAATGCTGTAGTATTTTTCTTTCTTGGGAGGGTGCAGTTTTGAGCTGAAAGTTGGGATTTCCAGTTTACTCTAGTACAGAAAGGCAGCAGAGTAAGTCCTTTGTAGTGTGCAGACAGCTGTCTGTCTATTGATGAACTGCCAGAGCTTCTTGGGGAGTGAATTGGGGTGATGAGTTTTTTTTAATCATTAAAAATTCTTTCAGGAGGCAGTCTGAAAAGCAGATAATATCCATGCTGGCTGTGACTTCTCGAACTCAACAACTATTCAGGAGGTCATTAGTTTCTTTTATAGCTTTCTTTTATAAATCAGTGACACTTCATGAAATGTAAACTTAACTGTTTAACTTGGATTTGATTATTGCTCCCAAGTACTTGGTCCCCACTGATTGTTGATGCTTGTCAGGTAATGGCTGTGAGCCAGTACCTTCTGTACTAAACGTTACTGCAATGGGCATTTGAAACCCCCTCCCCTTAAATAATTATTGTTTCTGATAGGCCTCCAAAAGAAGCAGAAGCTCAACTGCCCAGAGATGGGTGTGTTCTTAGTGCCTGAGTTCTGTCTGCTCATCAATCCTTGTCCCCCTGACAAGCAGTGCTGACCTGAAATGCTGAAACTTTGTAGTATCAGTGCTACCTCTGACACATCTGTCTGGTTATCACTAATTCTAGAACCCCATCGTTGTGAAAGCACTGGGGATGGGAAATTCTTGCTTCATTAAGTATCTGTTGCATATTGCACACACACCTTTCACTGCTGAAATTCAGCAGGAAATTCTGATGAACTCTTTGGGGGAAAATAACCTTTGTCCTTCTGAAAGGGCTGTCTTTTTGAAGTAGCTCTAGATACTCTGCTTCTTTGAATCGTGCCACCCTGTCCTGCCGTGCCCAGAGTTATTTTTGGAGCTTGGAATTGGAGTGACAGTTTTGACTGCAGTGACTTTTCAGCGGCTGAAAGCAGAACTGGGGGAGCACGTTGCCAAAATTTGTGTTAGTAACAAAAATCAGTGGTTTCTTCCTGTCTGAGTATTGAGTTTTTTAGCAGATCTCAATATTCAGTTTAGCAGTGGCATGTCTTACAACTTCCATTCCTTCCAATCTTTTAGGCTTCTCTTTTCCATCTCACCATTTATAAAGTATTTAGGGCACGGTCCCTCTCATAATATACACATATAGAGGGCAAAATTCAGCTCTTGACTGGAATTCCAAAATAACACCAAGAATTGGTGTTGCTGTACCAATTCCTAAAAGTAAAAAGGGGCCCAACGTCCATTATAGATTTATAAAGTCAATGACATGGCAACTTCTTCGGTATTTCAGTATTTAGCTGACTTTTTCCATCTTGGTAAGGAAACTTTCTTGGTAAAAGTCTTTGTGGAAGTCCCTCCTTTGATGTGATTCACCAGGCACAAGTTTTAAAAAAACCACTCTATCTGGGTAAATTTTTGATTTGCCAAAGGAAGGT